GGGGGGGCGGTAATAAGATAAAAGAAAGAACAAGTATCTAACATATGTAAAACACACCACATATCGTAAACCTGGATGTAACATGGATTTGCAGACCAATGAAGAAAGAGCAAGATACAAAAATGCATTAGAAAACATATAAAGATAATGTCCTAGGAGATCCTAGGGTGAGGAAGAAAAATCCATCTAGATCATACTCCTCCTGGCACAGAATTTCAGATGCTGATGCTTCACCATAACACCCTCGCAAGCACGAGACTGAATCCAGGGATCTTAGGAGCCGGAGGGACAGTGGAAGGGTGAGCAGAACACCAGGAAAAGGAGTATGAAATAAGAAATGTGTATGTAACAATATTAATGGCATTGTTATTATTGACAGCTCCATTCTGTATAAAATATTCATTTTTTATTATTCTTTCTTTTTCTACAATAATTAAATGTAGGCCGATAGTGATTCTTGGATGAATCTATTAAGATATCAATTGTAAAAACTGTAAATTCTTGATTTTACATAAAAGGTGCATATCCTGTTTATTCACAGACAAGATTTTGAATATAATTAATTGCACAGCCTTTTTATACAATTGTTTGGATGCTTCTCAGAAATGGTGTCCATGTTTTCAATAACTAGTTCAAAATCCAGTATTGCTCGGATGATTTTTATTTTATTTAATTGTATTACTGTACAAGAATACAGAAACCCAAGCAGTAGATCATCTTATACTGCATGGACTCAGCAGGACAGAACCTGAACTTTGCCAGATGACACTTCAGATGGAGAGTCATCTTTTCTCAGGAAAATATTTTTTCCAGCACGACCAGAATCTAATCTTGACATTACAAAGAAATAGCTTGCAGGTATCAAAGTTTAGAACTGCCACAAAAATGACAGGCATACTGTTCATTTCATAGGCTTATTTCTTGCATATTGTTAAAGAAACTTTATCCTTATCTCTGCTTGAGGTGTAGATCAGCACCACTTCAGAGAATCTCAAGCCCGCCCCAGGCAGACCTGCAGAAACCCACAGAAACACTGAAATCCTGGATCATAAGTAGCCCAACACCTACCTTATTTCATCTTGTGCTGCTGCAGCTCTGATTCCTGGTGCCTCAGACTACGAGGTTAGAGCTCTGCTTACTTAAGCCCTTTGGGATAATAGCAAGGCCACTGTATTTGAGACAAGAACACTTAATAAAACCAAGAGAGAGTACATTGCTGTTGAAAGACTCTTGTACATAAAAATAGAGAAACTACCCTTCAAGCCATAGATGCAAAGAGCATACGGATTATTTTGTTCTGTGACCAGCAGAAGGATTCAAATGAGCAGACATACAGAATGCTTAATAGCCAGTGAGATAACTTGTATTTATAGGCATAAATTCAGATCTTTACTGACATAAAAAGCAGATCAGAAACTGAACACAGGACAGATGATCCACCAGTCTTTATCTTCACTAGGTGTCTGCACAATGACAAGTAATTGGTGGGAGTACTGGAATGGTGAGGGCAATTACTTGAAAGAGATTCTTCATCTCATCCGATTCAGCAAAAGTTAAGCGGCTTTCTGGCAACAAGGTGGCTTATCAATCCTAAGCACCTTAATTTGAGATTGCAAATGAATATTCCTCAAATGCAGTTGTCCAGTGTAAGTTACTCACTATTCTGTTTTCCCATTAAAACGATAGGCAAAATATATACAATTGGCTCATGCTAAACTTCAACTCATTTTCAGAAGAAAAACCTGACAGTGGAGTGTGTGTTGGATGCCCTAGTGTAAATTACTGTGAAACACTTCATTACTTACAGAATTCCTTGGTACAGTGACCAATACGCTGCCCTTCCAGCCTGGCTTACATGGTTCAGGAAGGCAAGGTTGACACGATGGGCCCATCAGCTTGTGCACTAGTTAACCACTGCTCTGCTCCTGATAGGAAATGCCCAGGAAGAGCACTGATGCTACAAGTTGCACCTGCTACTATAGCTCACTTCTCTTTCTACTATTTTCATCCAGGAAGAAACATCCAGAGAATCAGTGTCTGACCAAGGATCACAATTCACCATCTTAGGATCTGAACAGCTTCTTAAGGGAGAAAAGCACGAAGCAGGGTGACCACTGGAAGCTTAGCTTCAGGCAAACCAGGGAACCTGAAAACGTCAGTAAAATTTTGAAAGAAACAGTTAACTGAAGGAAAGTGAGAAAATCTTTGCTGTAGACTTTCTATAAACCCTTTCATGGCATAACAGCAAGAGGCACGTTAAGATGTGGCTTGCCATACATTTTTGAAAGACCTGTTCAGCCCTCAGTCAGTGAAAGATTCCTGGCTCCTGACATGGGGTGAACTCACCACGGGGCAGGACGACACCATAAAGCAGAACTGATAGCTCACTTGGAGGCCTTGTTAAAGCCACGTCCTTGGGCAGGCTCTCAGCAAAAGGGTAAATTTCATTTTGTGGAAGATACTGCATATTTCTGTGTTCGTGAGGTTGGCAGCACTTTTCTCACACCGCGTCGCTGTGCTTTGCCTTTCTGTTACAGCATCACCAGATAAGAAAAGACTGTTGTAAAACAGGCACACCAGCAAGCGTCATCCATGTTGTGGTAGGAAGCTTGTGTCTACATTCTGCAGCTAATAAGTATTTAGCTCTAAAGGCTTTTTAGTGTAGTTCTGGAACAGGCAGAGGTCAAATATAGAATAAAGGACTTAAAACTTAACGCCAAGAAGACTAAAGAATTCAGTCAGAGTAGAAACAGCAGCAGCAATGGAGGAGCAGTTCAGAGCACAAAGGAAAAATGAAGCAGTCTTATGAAAGAAACTGAAGGAGGCAGATGGCAATTAGGTGTCAGTAAGTTCTCATTAAAAGTGGATGGTTTCCAGACTCAATTAAAAGAAAACTCTTCAAAAAGATCTTTTGGAGCAGTAGAGAAGTAAAAGGAGAAGCATTAAAACCCTTACAAGGCTGTTGCGTATTACAAAATCTTTTCTTTTCACTGTTGTTTGGGGAAAAGGGTGAAAAAGTCATATTTGGAATCTGTAGTTCTGTCACATAAGTCAGATTTCTGATGCTATAAGCTTGCAAAACAGATGTGTTCAAACCAGTAGGAAAAAGAAATAAAGTGGAAAAATAAAAGCATAACTAAAACACTGTGCTTTGTTTTCTTCCTGTGTATTAAAAATAATGAACTCATTACAACTCACATTCTTAAAATGAGCCTGCACCAGAAATCTTAGGAGAAAGCACAGATTTCTTACCTGTAAGACACACTGTAAAAGACTACTCTTGCCTGAAGTCTTGGAGAAGTAATGCTGTGAAAGCCATTAGGCTCAGAGCACGGTTGCTCGCTGCCCTCAGTAGCCACGCCAGTCACTCCAGCTCAGGCTGCAGTGGGTTGAAGAAACAGCATCCCCATGGGTGACCGCAGCTCGTTCCTGGTCTGTGCGCCTGCGCTCAGAACGCGCTCACGGGTCAGAACTGTGCCCGCGTTACCCGCCGTGACCTCCAGCAGGTTTCACCGCTGAATGACCACACTGAATGCATCGCACTGGCCCGACATCGGGGATGAGCGTGGCCTCCAGCTCCCCTGAAATGCACGCAGGGTGGACAAGGCTGAAGGCTACCAGCACCTTCCATGTAGGGCTGAGGAGGCGAGGGCTGAGGAGGCGAGGGCTGAGCCGTTCCCCGGTCTCTGTTATTCCTGGCAGGGATTTCCAGGCAGCTGGGACAACAAACGGTAAGCACACAACTGCTGGGTGTAGTCTCCCTCCCAGAGCCCAAGAGGACAGTCACACCAGCTCCTGCTGTGCGGTAGGAAGCCAGACTGTGATGGAAAAGTCCACTGCAAGGACTGTCGGAGATGTCACTGAAAGAATTTCAAAGGGCACCAGACACTTGTGTTTAGACAGCTGAGTTGATGCTGGAACTTCTACGCACCAGAGTCACAAACACCACTTGCATTTCTGGGCTTACTGCATGTTTCTGAGCTTCTCCATTGAAATATGTCAGAGCAGGGCACTTGGGGACATCTTCACCCAGTTTGGTACAGCACCATAATGCCTGCGAGGGAATTTAAGTTGAACGTACTGAGCCTGCAATGCTGTCTGGCACTGCTGTCTTCCAAAATTTCCTTCTTTTTCCCTCTTCTCTTCTTTTCCCCAAGGCTTCTCAGCAGCTCAGGCAAAGCCACTTGCAAAGATGAGCACAAAATAACCTACAACTTATTTTATGCTTATCTTTAGGGTGGCAAAATCCAGCTTTGCAATGCAGTGGGGTTTTGGGGTTACTGCAAAATGCTGGGCTAAGAAAGCAAAGCATCAAGGGATTGTGGGAGGTTTTACGGTCATACAGATAGAAAAAGAATAATTTCATGTTCTTCTCTCACTAACATTCCTCCATCTAACTATCAGTTCTGCGCTGGAGAAACCTCCTCCCCCTGTCCCCAAATGTTTACCTCCACATAACCATGGTGACAGAGAGAGAGAGTAGGCTTTTTTGGCCACAGAGAAGCACGAAAAGGGGCCAGAGAGCTGGAGTGACAGCTCAGGAGAGCCTCGGTGAGCTGGGCTTGTTGCTTTTGCTGTTGGGTGACAGTGGGAAAGGTGCACTTCCCCTAGAAACCAACACCTCTCACGTCCCCATTCCCACCCATGCAGGGCTAGTGCATAAGCTGGGCATGTAGCTATGTGCTGTTCCCCAAACTGGTCTTTACTCTTCCTAGGACAGGCAAATAGTTATCACAGGGCATTATTTGGGTTATTTAACTACCCTCAGCAGTCTGTTACCTACCTTGGCCTTGACAGCAAGACCCAGGCACAGCGAACAGTACAGCCCAGGCACAGCCAGTGTGGACAGAGGCTTCTGTTTTCCTGAGCTGTGGATCAGCTGCACCATGGTAGATGTGGCAGTCAGACCTTCTCCTTGCTTCTGCCCCAACCTAATCCAAACTAATGCCATTCCCTTTCCTGGAACAATGCTTGTGGGTGTGAGGAAGCAGGAATTGAGGACTTGGCACTCCTAAAGCTTGTCTTCATTTGTAATCATTATTTTAAGTTAATACACCTGAATGACTTAATTTGTGCTTAGCTTAGTTTTAGCGAGCACTGGCATTGGGGAAACACCACTCCAGCTACTGGAGTGATTTGATTAGCAGTGCTGAGTGATTAGATTAGCAGAGTGGCTGGACAGAGCTGTTAATTACTTGTTGTCATTCCAGCTGATGTATCCCCACTGCACCAGCAGCTCGAGCTATGCATTTGCATAGATAAAACGTGTGCCTGCTTATATCCTGTAGTTTATCTGTAATTTACAATCGTGCCTCCTGTCAGTGCTTGTAGTCCCTTAGCTCACGTGGTAGAGGTCTGTACTAGGCTGGAAGCTCTGTTGTTAGTCTGTACTGGAGATCATTGTATGCTACTGAAAATGTCAGCGAGAGAAACAATTGGTTCTTTGTCATAGACTCCAGCAGAGACGTATGTCAGATTCTCTGAGTAATGCTCTTTCTGGAGTGGTGTTTCTTGGCATACAACAGTGCCTCATTGCAGAAATACTGTATTTTTGTGATGCTGTTGCAAATAGCAGTAGTTTTCACTATTTCTTAAGCTCTGTTGAGTTCCACATTGTGGCAGAAAAAGCTTCCTAGGAAGCAACCCTAGTGTAACAGCTGAATCTCCAGAGAGGTGGGTGCCCACTTGCTATTTGTGAGCATTTCTCTTCAAGGACAAATGAAAATAAAGGAAGTAGGCAGTGAAAGCAGGATTTCTCTTTGCAAACTTAGTCCTCTATGAGCTGCATGCTTAAGCTCGTTGGTCACCTGAGCTACTGCTGTTGTCAGGAGAGAGGATGACAAGCAGTTTCAATGATTGCTGCTTTTCCTCCCCTTGGTGACTTCTAGGAAATGTAGTCTTACTGAGTGTTTGATGCTTTGATAGATAAAAGCTCAGTGAGATGAATCCTACCCCTCCTGCTCCCTGCCAGGAGGAAGCAGACCTATGCTGCTGCTCCTCTGCCAAGAAATAGCAGATGTTATGTTTGCCCATATGGAGCAGCGCTCTGAATCCTTGTGCTTGGAATACATGTGGGATTCCCTTTCTGTTAAAAAGGAAATCAAAACGACCTGGTCAGAAATAAGCGGAATGCTTTTAAGAATGTGGAATAGGTGTTCTTTCCTGGATGCCAGGGACAATTTAATGTTCTGTTGGGTCACTATAAATTCCCTTGTCTCTCTGAGTAGTAAAAGCATGCAAAGTGCAAAGGGAAAACATAAAGTAACACCGTATGAATGACCTCAAAATATAACACTGGTGAGGAAAAGTAACATAAGAAAGGGGATAGGGCTCTGACGCTTTGCATTGCTGGTAACAGTTGATGTTTGCATAGTAACAGCATCAAAGCCTTCAATACTGGACCTACACCTCTTCTGCACTGGGAATTTTCACTATATGAGGTGTGAGGCAATGAAAAATCAGGGTCATAATATCCCACTGAGTTTCTGAGTCATCTTATTGCGCTGAAATAAAAGGACTTCAGAAAATACAAGCCATCTGTGATGTTAAATGTAATTATCTGATTTGCGTCAATAAATACTCACAAATCACCGCCAAACCACTTGAATTTTTCAACACTGTCATGAGTCATTCATAAGCAGGTAAAGGTCATCTTGCTAAGACATTATCAACTCTGATCATTATCAAGTTATTATTTTCTGCAATAACACAATTGCTTCCATCCAAATCCACCACATACAAGATTTTTAAAGAAGGAGACAGGTTATTTTTTTAGCTCTGACCTTCAGAGGATTACACTAGGTATGTTATTACACTGAAGTCTCTGCGGTATTGATTATTACTTATAGCTTCATCCTACTGGCACTGAGGTAAGTGACAAACATTACTGTTGTTAAAGGTCAAATCCCAAGCTCTGTGCTCCTGATTCCTCATGGCTGGAGCTTCTGTACATCAGGAATTTCCCAGATACATCTTTTTTTTCTATTTGCCCAGTAATTTTGCCTGAGTGTGACAGGGCCACTGTGACTGTATGAATTAAGTATTCTGGTTGTAAGTGCACTACGCTCAGGATGTAGCAGCCCCACTGTGCATACACAGATCATGTTCTAGACGGGCTCTGTACAGATGCCCATGTCCCCCACTGCACAGGCTCACGTATTTCTCTCTGGGGAGACCCAGAAGAGCTGTGAGAATGCTGTCTAGGACTTTGTTTATCAGGTGTTATTCGCACCTGTAACCAAAGCTACCAATATGAATTTAAAATCTATTTTGCATATGTGTAAATTTTTCTAGCTGCCCATCAGGAAGAGATGCACGCATGTATGTTACCCAAATCTGAGCACACTGAGGCTCCACAACACAAACATCATTGTATACTGCAATCAACGTCTATTGTGTGAGCATAGCAGGAGTGGTCTGAAGGCTTAGCCAGTAAAAATCAGGGTAGAATTGCCAAAATAAGGCCTCCACACTAGCAGAAATGACTTAGCTCCACAGCAGACCAGTATCCAGAGGCCCAGGATCCTCCAAACAGTGGAGAAGAGATTTGTTCTAATGGTGAGGAATACAGAGACGCTGTCCAAGCATGCAGGGATGGTGTTATGAAAGCCAAAACCCACCTGGAGATGTATCTGGTAAAGGATATGATAGGCAACAAGAAGAGCTTCTACAGTTATATCAGCAGCAATATGAAGACTAGGGAAAAAGCACGGCTGCTGCTGAATGGGATGAGGGCCCTAGTGACAAAGGAAGTGGAAAAACCCAAGGTACTCAATGCCTTCTTTATTTCACCTTTACAGGTAAGACCAGCCTTCAGGAATCCCAGGCCCCTGAGAGCAGTGGGAAAGTCTGGAGCAAGGAAGATATACCCTTGGTGGATGAAGATCAGGTCAGGGAACATTTAAACAAACTGGACATATATAAACCTACAGGACCTGGTGGGATGCACCCAGTGAGTGCTGAGGGAGCTGGCCGACACCATTGCAAGATGACTCTCAATTATCTTTGAAAAGTCATGTAATTTGGGAAGATTCCTGATGACTGGAACTGACCAAATGTCACTCTTACCTTGAAGAAGGGCAAGGAGGATCTGAAGAACTACAGGCCAGTCAACTTCACCTTGATCCCTGTGAAGGTGGTGGAGCAACTAATCCTGGAAGCCATTTTCCATTTTTAGGATGGTAATGCCATTGGGGTGGAATCCACAGTCAAAATGGATTTACACAGGGGAAACCATGCCTGAGAGCCTTCTACAATGAAATGACTAGCTTGATGGACAAGCAAGGCTTTCAGCACTGTGTCCCATAACACCTTCTCAGAAAAACTTATGAAATACAGACTGGATAAGTGGTTGGTGAGGTGGAATGAAAACTGGCTGATATGCTGGGTTGTGATCAGCAGCACAAAGTCCATTGGGAAGCCAGATACTAGTGGTACACCCCAGGGGTTGATACTGGGTTCAGTACTGTTCTGTCATCTTCATTAATGACCTACTGGAATGATGGGACAGTATGCGCCCTCAGCAAGTGTGCTGATAATACAAAACTGGGAGGAGTGGCTGATATACTGGATGGTTATGCTGCAATTCAGAGGAACCTGGACAGGCTGGAGAACATGGACATATAGGAGTGTGTCCATCAAAGGGCCATGAAGATGATTATCTTGTATCTTTCATAAAAGGAGAAGCTGCAAGAGCTGGGCCTGTTCAGCTTGTAGAAGAAAAGGCTTAGGGGAGATCTCATCAATGTGTATAAATGCCTGATGAGGAGGGAGTAAAGAAGATGGAGCCAGACTCTTCTCAGTAGTGCCCAGTGAAAAGAAACGAGGCAACGGCCACAAACTAAAATACAGGAAATTCCATTTAGATGATGTTGTGGGTTTGCATGGCGAGGTTTTGGTAGCGGGGGTGCTACAGGCGTGGCTTCTGTGAGAAGCTTTGCCCATGTCTGATACTACCAATGCCAGCCAGCTCCAAGATGGATCCGCCTGCTGGCCAAGGCCAAGCCAATCAGCAATGGTGGTAGAACCTCTGGGATAATGTAGTTAAGATGGGAAAATAACTGCAGCGGGACAGAGGAGTGAGAAGATGTGAGAGCAACAACTCTGCAGACACCAAGGTTAGTGAGGAAGGAGGGGGAGGAGGTGCTCCAAACACTGGAGCAGAGATTCTCCTGCAGCTCGTGGAGCACACCATGGTGAGGCAGGCCGTGTCCCTGCAGCCCACGGAGGTCCACGGTGGAGCAGATATATCCACCTGTAGCCCGTGGAAGAGACCCCACACCAGAGAAGGTGGATGCCTGAAGGAAGCTGTGACCCTGTGGAGAGACTGCGCAGGAGCAGGCTCCTGCCAGGACCTGTGGACCCGTGGTGAGAGGAGCCCACGCTGGAGCAGGTTTGGTGGAAGGACCTGTGACCCCGTGGGGACCCACACTGGAGCAGCCTGTTCCTGAGGGACTGAAACCCCATGGGAAGGACCCACGCTGGGGCAGTTCGTGAAGAGCTGCAGCCTGTGGGAAGGACCCACGTTGGAGCAGTTCATGGAAGACTGTCTCCCATGAGAGGGACCCCATACTGGAGCAGGGGCAGAGTGTAAGGAGTCCTCCCCCTGAGGAGGAAGGAGCGACAGAGACAACGTGTGATGAACTGACCATAACCCCCATTCCCCGTCCCCCTGTGCCACTCAGGGGAAGGAGAGAGAGAATTTGGGAGTGCAGCTGAGCCCCGGAAGAAGGGAGGGGTGGGGGGAAGTTGTTTTTAAGATTTGGCTTTATTTCTCACTATCCTACTCTGATCTGATTGGTGATAAATTAAATTTTTTCCCCAAGTTCAATCTGTTTTGCCTGTGGTGGTAATTGGTGAGTGATCTCTCCCTGTCTTCATCTCAACCCACGAGGCTTCCATCATATTTTTTCTCCCCTGTCCAGCTGAGGAGGGGAGTGACAGAGCAGCTTTGGTGGACAACTGGCATTCATCCAGGCTAAGCCATGACAGATGGAACAAGAAACTCTAAGGAGTGATCAATCACTGGAGCAGGTTGCCCAGAGAGGCTATGAAGTCTCCACCCTTGGCAATATTCAAACGTGACTGAACATGACCCTAAGAACCTGCTCTAGTTGCCCCTACTTTAAGCCTGGACTAGATGATCTCCAGAGCTACCTTCAAGCCCCAGTGACTGTGACTCTGTGATTGGGGGATACTGAGAGCACTGAGTTGTTCCAGCCTACATCAAGTTGCATTTCAGCAAATAATAGCAGAAGGCAGGATTGTTTAAACAAGTTACCCAACTGTTTGCCAACTGGTCACATGGGCCTGCTACAGTAGACTGTTTCTCTAGCTCTGTTTACATATACATCCTCTATTAGGTATGGTTCTTTCATTTTCTATTAGGAATGCTTATGCAGTAAGGCTCAGTGATTCACAGTCTCCAGTTTCCCCAGGGCTCAGTTTTGGGTCCGGTCTTGTTTAACATCTTTATCAATGATCTGGCTGAAGGGATTGAGTGCTCCCTCAGTAAGTTTGCAGATGACACCGAGTTGGGCGAGGAGTGTTGATCTGCTCGAGAGTAGGAAAGCTCTGCAGAGGGATCTGGACAGGCTGGATCAATAGGCCGAGGCCAACTGTGTGAGGTTCAACAAGGCCAAGTGCCGGGTCCTGCACTTCGGTCACAACAACCCCATCCAATGCTGCAGGCTTGGGGAGGAGTGGCTGGAAAGCCAGTTTTGGGCCCCTCACTACAAGAAGGACACTGAGGTGCTGGAGCGTGTCCAGAGAAGAGCAACGAGCCTGGTGAGGGGTCTAGAGCACAAGTCTTATGAGGAGCGGCTGAGGGAGCTGGGGCTGTTTAGTCTGGAGAAGAGGAGGCTGACGGGAGACCTTACTGCTCTCTACAACTACCTGGAAGGAGGCTGTAGTGAGGTGGGTGTTGGTCTCTTCTCGCAAGTAACTAGTGATAGGACGAGAGGCAATGGCCTCAAGTTTCATCAGGGGAGGTTCAGATTGGATATTAGGAAAAATTTATTTACTGCAAGAGTGGTCAGGCATTGGAACAGGTGCTCAGGGAGGTGGTGGAGTCATCATCCCTGGAGCTGTTTAAAAAACTTGTAGATATGGCACTTCGGGATATGGTTTAGTAGGCATGGTGGTGTAGGGTTGATGGTTGGACTTGATGATCTTAGAGATCTTTTCCAACCTATGATTCTATGATTCTATGATGAAAAGCAAGGAGGGCATTCAATGTTTTACTCTTCTCTGAAGAAAAGGGAACCAAGCATTTTTCAGGAAACCATAAATCTCATTCACTCTCTCAGATCTCCACTACAAACTCACCTGAAGCTATCACTAAAACAGACAAGTTCTGCACTGCTGATACTACCCACACTTGCTTGTTCCCACCTCATACTGCCCAATTCCTTGTGCTGCCGTGTGCATTTGGGCCGTCACCACTGAATGACAGCAGGTAACTGATGGGGGTGACACTCAACAGGCTTTGTGCCAGGTTAGTTTTCAGTAACAACGAAGGCTTTTGGAGGTGAATTATAGCAGCAGAGGGCAGAAAGGTAAACCACTGCTTTAGACAGCAGTTCTAGCTCAGGGTAGCTAGAAGTGTTCATAAGATTCAGAGTGGAAGGGACCTTAGGAGGTCTCTAGCCCAGCCTCCTGCTCCAAGCAGGGTCAGGTGTGGGATCAGAGCAGGTTGCTCATGGCTTCATCCATCTGGGGCTTGGAAATCACCAAGGTTGTTGACTGCAAAACCTCTCTGAGCAACCAACCTGCTCCAACCCATGACTGTCGACCTGGTGAAAAAGGTTTTCCTTATGCCTAGCCTGAACCCCTCTTTTTTCAGTCTATGCCTGATTTCTCTCAACCTCTCACCACGCACCACTGTGAAAAGCCTGACTCAAAAAGCTGTTGTCCAAGGCAGCCACAGCTGTGGTCTATGCACGCAGCCCACAGCTGATTTTGGCTTGTCCCACTGGGCAAGTTGTCACAAACTTGCTTCAGGAGGAAAATGTGTGGCGTGTTTCTCCATTTGCATAAAACCTCTCTTTATCACAAATAAATGAATGAAATAAACAACTCATCAGATCATTTGATGATGGCAGAAGTCAGTACCACTCTCTGTGCATGACAAGACATAGGTGTTACTGGAGAGTGGAATTAACCTCACACTCATAACAGGACAGACACTTGTACAGAATGCTTTCTGCCCCGGGCACGTGCAGATCATATTAATCCATCTGCTTCCCTTCCCTGATTTTCTATCATATGAAATTATACATAATAAATTCTGTGGATCTTGTGAGTATTTTCACACTCAAATTCTGTTTTTTTCCTTTGAACTAAGAGCAGAAGACACTGTCTATTTAAGAATACAAATTTTTATTAAAAAAAAAAATCCATTACTGATTACTTATTATATTTTTGGGTAGACTACAGCCTCCCTGCCTAACAGCTCTTCTGCAGTCATTCTGAGGCCCCAGAAAACTGCTTCTGAACATTAGGGTTTACACATGTAGCATGCTTCGGTTTATTTTGTGATGGTAGGATTGGATCCACACAAGCTTAAGAATCTGCTTCCATGGACTTAAATCTAAACTCGGTTTCTTCCCTTTTCTCTGTTATGCTTAATTGAGTTTTAGAGCACCTTTTTCTTTTAAAATCAACCCCCTGCAGAGCATTAATAACATAAAGTTCAATATAAAAAAAAATATCAGCAATGCACCTAGCATTTTCTCCCTGTGGCTTTCAGGTATTTGCATGAGACTCAGCAAGTCATCTTCTCAGGAAATGCCACTTCCTACAGCAAAAAAGGGAAAGCATGAAACTCCCCACCCTCTTTCTCTCACTCCAGAACTGGCACCCAGTGTCCCTGAGGCTGTTTTTCCAGCC